TGAGCAGGACAAGCCCTTCCCCAGGGGTCTCCATTGCCCGTGTAAGCTCTTGGCTCTGCAGCAGAGCCCAACGTTTTACACAGCTCAGCGCTGAAATGCACAGGCTTGGACATAAAGCTGGATTAGGGATTTACAGGCACCACTCCTTCATCTTCGCAGTTCAATCTTTGCCTTGGTTTTAGATAACAGTTATATCTTTTTTTGCCCTTTCAGTGACTGTTTTTGGTGATGCACATTAAAGCTCTGAGATAAGGGGGGGACACTTGAAGAGACCCGCACAAGAAACAGAATTCAACCAACCTTGTGTTTTTGGCTTCCAGCCCTCTGTTCTTCAAGTTTTGGTGCCTGTTTGGAATAAAATGAATAGATTGAATGATTAAGATGTTCCCAACAACACAGACAAAACCACGAGGGTATATTGCAACACAGGAATCACTGACAGAAGTGCCATGAAAGGAGGGGTTTCTGCAGAGGTGCCGCTGTGCCAGGACAGACCCCAGCGTAACACGGGATGTGGTAGGACAAGACCTGGGACACAGCGACACTGCACTGAAAACATCCGTATGTGAGACCATGGTTCCCCAGGCACCAAACACAACATGCACCACGGTGGGGGAGCACTGCACATCCCAGCACTGGGGGTGAATGCCGCCTGCCTGCATCCCTCTGCAGGGACAAGGTACATGCCAGGGGACACCCTAGTCCCCTGACTGTCCTCCTTATGCAGATCCTGATGTGTTCCAGCATGGGACAAGAGCATGCTTTGCTCTGACCTGAGGGTAGTGAGATACTGCCAGACCCAGCCGTGCTCTGCACCAGAGCCTGATGTTTGCAAAGAGAGGTAGCAGCATCCTGACTTTACCAGGGACAATGGGACTGGGTCCGAGAGCACATGCCCTGCCTGGTGACACACAGGTCTTTCCACAGGGCTCACAGTGCTGGGGCTTAGGCAACAACTCAGACCAGGGTATGGCTGGACAAAGGTTCCCACACGTTTGGTGCAGGAGGTGCAGCAGGTCTCTGCCCTGCAGCCCTGCCAGGGTGGGTGTCCCGCGTTGCTGACATGCACATGCTGCTCACCTGCATTTTTTCCAGCATTTCGAAGAATTCTGCAGACTGAAAAAGAGAAGAGGGAAGTCTCCTGTTGAACACACAGACAGGAAGCAAGCCAGCCGGAGCTATAGCCAGGCAGGGACACCGACCCCCAGCCTGTGCTGGCATCCCAGTCCTCAACAGGAATGGGAAGAAGAAACTCCATCCGTAACTGATGGCATGTGCCTCTGGGACACCCCATGCAGCCCCGCCGCTGGCAGGGACAGACCCCATGGCCGCTCCGAGGGCCATGAGTGTCCCACAGCAGGTTCCCCCAGGGCAGCTACGGGCAGCACAGCAGCAGCTCCCTCCTCTCCTCCTGACTCCTCATGTGCTGCGTTCCCTTTCCAAAGCAGCTTGGGAAGATGGTCTGAGTGCCACAGAGCTTTGCAGCCCCTCGAGCATCCCCACTGCACACAGGGCACATAGTTCCTGCATCTTTGGCAACACTTGGCACAGGGGCTCAGGCACAGCTGGACGATCCTGATCCCTCATCTGGCTTTTCCTGCTCTCAAGTACAGGCAAATAAATTCTCTCACCAACCAGCGGCTGTAAACATTGAGGCACTCACAGTGAACTGCTCAGTGGCTTCTCTGGAACTATGCTCCAGCAGCCCCATCCTTCCTCCTCCCACTGCCTCCTTCCCACCTCTCCTGTAACCCGTGTTTGCTCCCGGCTCATAAGGCCAAGGGGTGGCTGTGCTGCAGGTGATGCTGTGGTCCAGGAGGGAGAGCAGGAACCGCATCAGCAGTTCCAATGCTGCCAGCTACCAGAAACAGTTTGCAGAAGAGAGATGAGAGATTTGGGGCAGAAAGAGTCACGGTACCAAGGAGAAAGGCTTAGGGGTGATTTTTAGTGAGCTCTTACCATAGAATCATAGAATAGTTAGGGTTGGAAATAGACAGAATTTATCAAAAGACAAAAAGGAGAGAAAAAAGCAAACAGAGGGGGAGATGAAGAAATGAAAATGGAAGACCAAAGGAAAACCTCAGAGAGATTGTCTTCTAATACATGTGGAGAGCAAAGGTTAGTTTTACAGCACAAGTAGCCTGTGACCGCCCCAGTGACACCAGCTGGGATGGGGCAGAGATGCTGCCAATACAGGCGGGGACTTGGTGAGGGAGCCCCAGCCCTGGCCATGCTTCCAGCTTCAGACTGTGCCTGGTTTAACCTACTGCACCTATGGGAGGAAAAGCAAACCCTGGGC